CCCCAGGGGCTGCACTCAGTTGAACCGGCTATCCTCCCCCAGGGGCTGCACTCGCTTGACCCGGCTATCCCCCCCAGCCCCAAAAGTGCACTCAGTTGACCCGGCCATCTAGGCGCTTTATACTACTAACGTACTGAGCGCGTGTGGCTTTTTCCGGAAACCCTTAATTTAGACTCAGTAAAGGTATAAAAACCAGCACAGAGATTGTATGGGTCGTCATTTTCAGTCAGAACTTTTCAAAAGACAGACGTGTACAAGCAATAATGAATACCACAGATAACGCTAATTATGTGACACCTAAAGGCTGTTTAGTAGCCCCCATGCCAGAGACTAGGATCCTGTAGGGCTGGATTTGGGAATGCATCATTTACCAGACCCGATAACTAAAGAGGACTTGAGTATTACCACCACCACGTTAGAGGGGATTGTCAATATGCTAAGCCAGGTGTTAGAGAAACAAGAAAAAATTGAAGTTAGAGTCATTAAAGACTTGGTTTACCTGAAAGGCAAAATGGGTCGACTGGATGCCAAAGTGAATCGACTGAAGCTCCTGAGAAAACCAGAGACACAAGCCCCTGTTTAATCTGCAAACAATTAGGACACTTGGCCCCTGATTGTCCAAAGAAAGACTTATACTACAAATGTGGAAATTTGGGACACTGCCGATCAGCTGTGTTTTCAAAGTTTCAAAAATAAGCAGCCAACGAGGCAACGAAACAATAGGATAACGTCATAATCAAGATTTGAATCGCAGCCAAGTTTAGGATCTCAGATACATGTAGATCCACGCCTTATACCTTGCACTCCCTTGCACCGACTATCCTGCTCAGGGGTGCACTCCCTTGACCCTCCTATCCCCCTCAGGTAGGTACACTCGGTTGACCCCCCTTTCCTTCAGGGGCAAAGTGCACTCAGTTGACCCCCTATCTACACGGTTTATACTACTAGCACTTTAACAAAAGTGTCATGATTGTTGTTAAAAGTCACATATAAATCAGAGAACATCGCAACCTAATGAATTAAGTTTCTAATGTTCATGCATTTAACACAAATATGAGTATTACCATCCATCCAGTAGGGGTACAATGTTCCGCAGGAAAAAAGGGTGGGTGGAGTCGTTGGTATCTGATGAGAGGTTCCTGCCCGATACCATCTCATGGTAAGATATCTATCGCAAAGAGGAACTGAATCTCCCTCAAACTTTGGACTTCTATTGGATAGTCCAGGAAGCATCATGTAAACACCCTCAGAACAAGGGTCCTGACCTTATAAAACATATGAGTTATGAAGCGGTTTCGGCAAACACGTATCAGGTCCAAGAATTTACTAGTGTTATCCATTTCTTATTTTCCGTGTATAAAAATTCCTACTTCCTCTTGCTTTCATTAATGAAAAAAATAAAGATTAAAAAACAAGATGTGTTTGTGATGCCCCCGTATCTTGGTTTTCAGAATGTGTAAATTAAAAGTAGATAACAGTACCCTACTTTTGAAATTTCAAGGAAATTTTGTTGAATCATATTGGGCTCTCATAGTATTTTTACCAAAATGTATAGCCAATAAAAATTTAAAATGCCGTTATTGGCTCAAAAGTCGTTTCCGTGCAACGAAATGCAAATCTGATTACTCGACAAGATAAATTGACCAAAATTATCTCAATATCTGACGGCATTTAGAAACAAGGTGCAGACAACCACGTTCGAAGGCATACAGGCTGAGATACAGCTAGAAAGACAGACGGACAGATGAGGGAGGAATTTTGTAGTCTGGTTTCATCTATCAGTGGATCGAATTTTACTTGTTTTATGCCAATTGTAAAGCTTTTGCTTCGTATTCTTATTTTAACAGCGGAATGTATCGTTTTCCAGATCAATATATAGGGCTAACGGAGGGTGTGACACGTCACACAGTGTTTACTCCTCCTATGCACCTAGATATCTGAAATATCTGGGGCTCTGCGTGCATATGCACTCTTCAAGGAACAGCACTGTTTGTTGTTTTATGTAATTGATATATGTACACATATTTTTTGTGAAATTACTTGCATTAAAATTAAGGAACTTCTGAGAAAGAACTTTGAAACTTAGCATTTCTTAAATTTTTCTCCAACCAAGACATGCAATATGTATTATCTAGTTAATGTAATTAAATACTTACCACACACAATATCAGCTATAATTGACAACAGAATATAAACCAGCATTTCTCTATAAAATAAAATAAGAAAGAATTTTTTTGGTGTATTTGGAGGTAGATCCTGGGTGATGCATATACATTAAAAAAAAAAAAACCAAAATACATGCAGCATAATAAGTTTTTACAGGAAGTTAGTCACTTAACCTGATTGAGAAATATCGTCTTAATTGAAATGGTTAGTCAAGTTACTATAAATGCTCACCATTAGCATAATTAGTTCGCCTTACCACTTCCTACTGTGGCCTTCATATTTTAAAACTAGATACAAGTACATGTATATATGTTTGTATCTAATCAGGCAAAGAGAGGGGGGGGGGGGGGTCAGCTTCTTTGTGCGTAAGGGTGGGTGCGTGAGGGTGGGTTTATAACGTAAAGCAATTTTACTTCCTGACGCGACATTACGAGTGTTGTCCTGTAAAATCGTGGACAATTGTCTGCAGTGAAAAAAAAATCGTCACTGCGTTTTGAATTTTTCATTAGTCTTTAAATGCTTTAGTTCATATGTTATCAATATTCCTTCAAATGGATAACAAAATATGAGATGTGTATTATGTGTGGTATTACCTTATGGCGCATAAAGTGTCTAAAGCAGCTTCAAGTTTCTTTTTAGATAAAAAAAACAGTTGCATAGACCCCACTTAAATTCGGGAATTTCACTTATGCACATACTCGATTCCCCTTTAAATACCCCCCACCAAAAAAAAAAAAGAAAACAGTCGAGGAATTAATTTCGCACATACAGGCACCTTATGGGGGTTTTATTATAAGTAATGGACAGTACTCTTAGTCTTACTACCATTCAACAAATTAGACAATTTTACATTGACAGTCTATAGTGAGAGCGTCTTTCTTTGTTGCCAGTAGGTGTTTGTCCGTATGTTTTGTTCTTCTTTAAAAAGCCTCCACTTAGAATAATCCCAGCTGACGTGTATACTAATGGTCTAGTTATATTTTAATATATTAGCTGAAATTTTTTTTTTACTGCTATATGTAACAGAACTATTCCAAAAATTATCTTTCAGATTCTATTGACAGTTTATTACACAGGAATATAGCATGACGAAATACTTAAAAGTCCTCCATTAGTTTTGGAACAGAAATAAATAATTATAAGAAATACATTTCCCAATATTTTGGGTTATTTGTTTTTATTTCTACAAATATCAATTTCATTAAAGGCCTCTTCTTCTTACATGCTATAAAGCAATTTTATTCTGTTGTACTATGTTACACATCATGAACTACAGGCTAGATGCTCATTGATATTTTCTACTTTCATGTTAGAAACTTTATTTTAATTTATTTTGAGCTATATTACTATTATACTTCAGATGCTCTGTTTCCATTTACATCACAGATAAGAGAATGGATATGCACATTTAGCTATAAATTTGTCAGCATTTTGAAATATTGATAAAAAGCTTAGTTTTCATCACAAATGTACATTCAGACTCAAAAGAAATAAATGTTTTAAAAATAAAAGACTGTGAATTCATCGAAGCATATAAGTAAATTTTATAAAAATCAAATTGTACCATTTTATGTATAAACAAATAACCATGGCCATTAATCGACATTTATTTATAAAACATAAGTACAACTTACTAAGATATACAATTATTCACAAACTCATCGTGATATCAATTTCTTTTTCATTTATTTCCATGTCAATTCATGATAAACAATAGCCTCGATTTTCTTTTAGATATCGGGTTCGATGCCACCTGACGTTCAACAAATAGCGAGATCGGACATATTATAGTTTGCAGCTAACTGTAAAGTTTCACGTTACGTCACGATCTTTTTCGTCAGATGCATCCAACGTAAATAATTCACGTGATTGGTTAATTCAGATTATCAACATTAACACGGAAATAGTCTGTTGCACGAGCAACCAATCAGGATTAAGAAGAAAGTTCCAGTCGTAAAGCTTGCGGTAAGGAGGCGTGTACAATTTACCTTGAGCGCAGCTGTCAATTAGATCGTGACGTGAAGTGAAACTTTACAGTTAGCTGCAAACTATAATAAACGGGAAAGATTTGCACATTTTATTTTTTAATCAATGACCACAGCTTATTTCTTTTATATCACTCAAATGAAGTTTTGATTGAATAATTCATTAATGACGTTTCATGAAATGAATAAGTAATGGCTTGTTGTCAATTTTTTTTAATGCCATTTACTTAGACCTGCCACCACTTTAATCTCTTCGGTGCTATTTTGAGGCTGTTAATCGAAAATGAAAGTAGACTTTTAATTAAATTTACGATATTTACTATAAGAGTGAACTCTGAATATACTTTACGGACATCACCTTATACTTACTGTATTCCTACAGGCTTAAGGTCAAGATCTAGTAAATGAAAGGTGCCTACAGATTTATCAAACTTGAGAAATAAATTCCTTTATTGATGCTTTAGAACTTTAGCTTGGTCAAATAAGGTGTTTCGGGCCATAATTTGTAGGTAAACAAGATGAAAAACTGTATTTTAAACTGTCATTTTCAAGGAAAAATTAAGAAAACCAGTCATGAATGTAGGAGTTTTTTTCATATTCGGCAAAGAAAATGTATCCAGATTGCCTACAGTCTCTCAGAAAACGGTAATTAGTATGTTCATGGCCTCTTCTTTAAATCACTATCAAATTTGATATAGGTATCCGGTTTACTTTCCATATGATTTCAAATTGAATGACATGAAAATACCCTATTTTCTACATAATTCTGCTAAAGCCGTAAAGTACGGGAAAAAGAAAGTTGAAATTGTTTATGACGTCATAATGGATCTAGCACCAAAAAATTAGTCTCAAGTTATTTACTAGATCTTGACCTTAAGGGGGACCTATGTCGTTCTACGTCAAAGCAGCGTTATGTGACGTCACAATAGCGACGTTTGTTTTTTACCTGTTGACTTTGGCAACTGTAATATAGGCATTATATTGCTAATAATCAATAATGTATACAATTTATAAGAAGAAAATTTATTCATTATTAATAACAGTTTTTTTTTTTTATTTATGGAGTTTGTTAATATTAAAATTCTCTTCCTTTGGTTGATAATTCATAGCAATTTCAGTTGTGAAGAAATACCTCGATGATATGCTGATATATAAGGGCAAAAAGAAAAGATAAAATTCAGCTAAGAAAGCGGCTTAAATCATGGAAATATGTTTAATTTTATGCTACCCATTAATTGTGTTTTCTGGATAAAACTAAGAAAAAAAAATTCAGAAATGTACTTGTATCTATATTTGCTTAACGATTTATAGTACATGTAGAGTTTATTATACAAAGTCATTCCTAGGTGTTGGTTGTCGACGGGGAAATGGGGGGGGGGAGAAACAGAACGATTGGTATGAAGAAGAAAAGAATTAATCTGTTTGAATTGTTTCTTATCAAAACAATATGACTCGTTTTTCGCAAATTAGTTAAATATTCAGATGTTTGTCGGTACTTACTTACCTTTTTAAGTGCAGAAAGGTAAATATTTATGACGCAATAGGGCGAAAATGAAAGAAAACATCATATTTCTCGTTTATTTCATCATAAAGGTATACTTTTTTCTTTGTTAAAATAAAGAGTTGAATCATTTATATCAAAAATATCAATTACAGCTTTTTCACACAAAGACTTTTAAAGATATTACCTGATATGCATGTTGGAATTTCAAAAAATACGACAAGAAAAACGGGGTGATACTTACATTGTGCTCCAATATAATTTTTTTATGCGAGATGAATTACAATGAATTTGCCTTCATTTGAAAGATACAAGTCATATAAATTAAATACATATTGATTTTGAATGTGATTTGACATTTTTTGTTCTTTTTAGTGCATATTTTGCGTAGAACAATAATGTCTGAAAATAATCTTTTTTTAGCATTTCACACTGTTTTTGCACGTGCTCCTGTGTAACAATAAGCATATAAAGGTATTGTTTTTAAGGGGGGACCTATGTCGTTCTACGTCAAAGCAGCGTTATGTGACGTCACAATAGCGACGTTTGTTTTTTCCCGCTGACTTTTGCAACTGTGATTATAGGCATAACATTGTTATTAATCAATAACGTACACAGTTTACAAAAAGAATTTTTTATATCATTTATAACAGTTTTATTTGATTTATGGAGTTTATTTATATTAGAATTCTCTTCCTTTGGTTGATAATTCATAGCAATTTCAGTTGTGAAGAAATACCTCCATGATATGCTGATATAAAATTCCAAAAAATATAAGATAAAATTCAGTAAAGACAGCGGCTTAAATCAGGGGAATATGGTTAATTTTATGATTACCATTAATTGTATTTTCTGGAGAAAACTAAGAAAAAATTAAAAAATGTACTTGTACCTATATTTTATTGATTTATAGTGTGTGTAGATCTTATTGTATAAAATCATTCCTAAGTTTTATTATGTGTCGGTTGTTGACGGGGAAGGGGGGGGGGGCAGAATGATTAGAATGAAGAAGAAAAGAGTTTATCTGTTTAAATTATTTCTTATCAAAACAAAATACTCGTTTTTTTGCAAAATAGTTTTGTATTCGGATGTTTGTCAGTGCTTACATACCTTTGTTTAGTGCAGAAAGGTCAATATCTATGACAGAAGAGTACGAAAATAAAAAAAACGTCATATTTCTCATTTATTATATCATAAAGGTGTATTTTTTTCTTTGTTAAAATAAAGAGAGGGGTCGTTTCTTTTAAAACATATTAATTACAACATTTTCACACAAAGACTTTTTAAGATATTACATGTTATGTATGTCAGACTTGTAAAAATACGACAAAAAAAACGGGGTGATACTTACATTGTACTCCGTTATAATTTTTCATGCGAGATGAATTACAATGAATTTGCCTTCATTTTAAAGATACAAGTCATATAAATTAAATACATGTTGATTTCGAATGTGACTTGACATTTTTGGTTCTTTTTAACGCATATTTGGAGTCGAACAATAATGTCTGAAGATAATCTATTTTTAGCATTTCACACTGTTTTTGCACGTGCTCCTGTGTAAAAATAAGCATATAAAGGTATTGTTTTTAATACCTAAAAATTAAAAGCAAGTGGTCAGGAAAGAAATGTTAAAGTTTTGAAAATTTCACACAAAGACTTTTCGGACATAGGTCCCCCCTTAATACCTGAAAATTAAGAGCAAGTGGTCAGGAAAGAAATGTCAAAGTTTTGAAAATTTCACACAAAGACTTTTCGGACATAGGTCCCCCCTTAAGTAAGAACTCTTGTGCAGCCGTTTCAGAGTTTATTTGCAAAATTTGTTAATTTATAAGTATAGATTTTTTTCTTATATATATATAAGGTTGTCATCACTACATCTAAATGACCTGGTGTCAAACGTCGTCAAACGTCGCCTTTTTCATGTATTTTGTTGACCACTTTCCCTTTTTAAATTTTCGGGAAACTGCCAAGATTAACGTAAATGTCTTCAATTTTTCCACATGGCGAAATAATAGACGGTGGATTAAAATATGATAATTCTTACCCTGATCATATTTATGTAATATGCTTTTATTTAGGATTAATAAGAGTATCCTCTAATGAAACATGCATTTTATGTTTATCGTGCGGCGTTGGACCGTACCCTAGATGTATGCATTCAAATAAGTTAAAAGTTTTTTTTTATTACATCTTATCAAAAGATTAAAGATTTACTTAATAATGATAAAAAAATTTTGCTGAAAATTTCAGTTTTATGCGCCCATTTTTTTCCGATTTTCACCGGACAACCCTGCTAGTGTTTAGAGTTAGTATATATGTTACTAAGCATCCATCAAAGATCGAGACAAGTTACGGTCTGGAATTAAACTGTTGTATGCTTGAAATAATCTTTTAGCTTGGCTCTTTTTTATTCTTAAATTCGTCAAAAAAAGATTCTTTGATTTTTATCAATATAATTTAAAGTAATTCGTAGTTTTAATCACATCCATGGAGGTTTAGGGTTGTCGTTAAGAAATGTATAATTTTTTAATAAAGTACTTGCTTTGCATTTGATTATAAATATGATCTGAAATAATATTTAACATTAAACGTAAGAAATTGAATTGTGCTGTGTTTAAATCTAAGTTAAGAGTTTGACACTAGGGTTTTTGCAAATGTGTTACTTAATCTTGAACAGCCAATTCACATTATACCCCAATAAAAAACTATACTTACCGAATCTCTAATTTACTGTCCACTGAGTAAAAAGTATTCGAAGTAAAAGCACAGGAAGGAAATTTGTTACGCGTGAGCTAGATAAACAAATCGTGCATGAGCGCTCTGCGTGTGTAACATTCAAATTAACTATGTCAAAAGTAGGCTGAACACCATATTATCGGAGTTTTTTTTACGTTTTTATTTCAAACTGAATCTCTTTACATAAACTTGCATACAGAAACGCGATTATCAATGAGTCTGTAGATAAAACCAAAATACGTAACACAAAAAAGAACAAGAATTTGTAGGTTATCTTTTAGATTTGGAGTAGAAATTCAATCTTCCTCTCTGCATAGCTGTATGGCATTGATTATCCAATTCTATGAATAAAGTGAAAATTTACGTGGGATTATGGAATCCGGATAGGGCCAAGCAGTTCACTATCGCACCATCGAGCATCAACTTAAAGGTCGATGGCGCGATAATGCGATGGGGCAATAAGGATGAAAAGGTGGTGCGATAACGATGAAGCGATGATGCGATAGCGCGATGACAATGATGCCATGGCGCGATAATGCGATGACGATGGTGCGATAGCACAATTTAGCGATAGTGAATATCGCTTCATCGTCATCGTACTATCGCACCATCGTCATCGCACCATCGTGTCATCACTATCGCACCATTGCGTCATCGCACTATCGTACCATCGTCATCGCATTGTCGCGCCATAGCATCATCGTTATCGCGCTATCGCACCATCACTTCATCGTTATCGCACCATCGCTTCATCGTCATTGCATTATCTCTTCATCGCACTATCGACCTAAACCTCAATGGTGCGATGATGCGATAGTGAACTGTGTGGCCCTATCCGGATTCCATATTTACGGAAAGTAATTTTTTTTTATTTTTTTTTTTCAGAAATGCAAGTATTTTCCTAGTGCATTGTGTCGATTCTGGACCCATACGAAAATGTCTAGTTAACTATTCGTCTCATAGCAGTAAACTAGTTCTCAAAAGAATACTCGAAACTACTTAATTCATTTCCCCCTTAGATTCCAAAAAAATCCCCTTTTGCGTCCCGGTCGTTGTCTCGCTACCTGACTTTCTCCTATGTTCACCTGCCGTTGTCCCTGTGTTCCCCACCCGCTCCCTGTCGTTGTCCCAGACTACCCTGTCCACTCCCGTTCGTCCCCTGTATTTTACCCTGTCTACTCTGTCTACTCCTGGTCATCGCCTGAGATTCTCTGACTACCCTGACAATTCCCTGTCGTCCCCTGTCGTTGTCTCAGACTACTCTGTCCACCCCTGTCGTCCTTTGTCGTTTTCCTGTCTACATTTTCCAACCTCTGTCGTTATACTTAAGAGCCAGTCTACTAGAAAACCATGCAAAATTCAAAAAATTGTCCAAATGGAAGGTTGCAACTTGGGAGTTTTTAGCGGCTTAAAATTTTCTACATAAAGGTAGAAGTCAGAATATCCACAAAAAATGTCGAACCCAGCATCTATTTTTAGTAACAGCTCATTTGCATATTTGTCGAAAATTACACAAAATTTAATGAAAAATCTATACAAATTGATCAAGTCAAAAAGTTACCTTTTGTCATCAGTTTATTTTCAAATTTTGTTTTATTTTCAAAGTCATGGTCCAAATTAAACAATTAATGAGGAAAAACTTAATTCAAATGAATATTTTATTTTTTACAAATCTATTTATAGATCCGAAATAAACTAGTATGATTTTTTAGCAATTTTTAGATGCTCGTTTCTCTCAAGACCAAGGTTGAAATTAAATTAAATTAATTGTTATTTTAAGAATGATCTTAGGTCTACACTGTATTAAAATATTGAGCTTGGGAAATAATATCTACATGTTGTAAATTAAATTTGAAATACCATATTTTGCTACAATTTCACATATTTTAAATAACAGTCTTTTACCATATTTTTGGATTATTTTTATGATATTTAAATGAAAAAGAGAAGATTCTTAATCTAATATATTTTTTAGAAGAGAAATAACTGATTTGGATACTTCATATAACTTTCTTTTGGTTATTTCAGCCCTTGTTAACATTTTGCTGGAGTTAAATTGTTATCTCCCCTTGTTGGAACTCTTTTGTATTATTGGGTAAAAAGTGACAGGTATGTCAATATGGAAAGAAGAAAGTCATGTATGATCATTTTTTCTTCACCTAGGGAGTTGTTGTGAAGCATTATTGCACTATGAAAGAGGGAAAACAAATTTTAAGATATTTGAATGTAAGAAAGAAACAATAATTTAGCTTGAAAAACCAAATAACAGGCCCATAGGAAGCAATTTGAGTGTGGGGGAGGGGGGACAACCTAACGTTACATTATCAACTACCAAGAATTCCATAGAAAGTAAAAAAAAAATAAAATAAAAAGATTCATCAGATTTTTTTTTTAATTTTGGGCATATACATTTAGTAGCTATGTTTTCTATAGGGTTCTGTCCTCGGGGAATCTTTATTCAATTCATGCATTTCATGGTAATTAACAGTTACAAAATTTTTCCTAACACGTACAATTGAATAGGAAATTAAATCAAATAATAACATATTTTTAATCAAAATATACATTTGATAAAGCACCTGGCCCCGTTCAAGTTCAAGATCATTTTATTCACTCAAACCATTTCAGGTACATGAGGACAATGATTTATTGAAGAATATTTACAACATATAAATTCAGAAATAATCAAAATATGAAAAGGAAAAGAAAAACACATATGAAACATGTAATAATGAAATAAGCAAGGGGAAAAATCATGGAGGACTGGCTAACTAAAATCATATATTTTCAGTATAAACGTACGTAGTTTTCTTAGTGTCTTAGCAACTTGTTTTGTCATCAGTTGAGAAAATATAAGAATACAAACAGGTATTTGATTGCATACTTTCAACAAATTAAAAAATAATTGGTAATTTCAATCTACATGTAAATTGTTTATGTTTCATAAATTTAGTGTGTTTTTGAGTTAACCAAACACCGTCATTCCTAGGCATTTTCAATTTTACATGTACATTACATACTTTAAACTACTGGGTTACGTAACATTCATATATTGATAAAGTCAGATCTCCCAGATCTTTCATTTTCTTAAACTCCTTTATGGCGTTTTTTGTATTACATCTCCTGTCAGTATTTTTATAAGAATGTACCAATTTAAAATTGGCAGAAAGCAAACAACTTACTGATGGCTCAAATTTTATATGTTCAAGTCTCAAAATTTATATGAATGATACTGAAATAGAGTCCGTTTTGATTTAAATACTTGTAATTTCCCTTTTATTAATTTAAAAGAAAGTAACTTACAAATGTAAGGAACATGTATACTCATATGATTGTTGAAAAATTGCAAGTAAGCCAATACAATTTATTATGCTTTTTTTCATTTTTAAACAATTGGCAAAATGCTAATCCTCATATTAGGGGTAATTTCTGACAATATAGTTTTATTTAATTTCTAATTTTAATATTTTTCAATCTTAATTATTATTTCAAAGAAAATTGTTACATGTTTCAATATCTAACAACATTTTTTTTTAATTTAAAGTACTATATTTGACTTTGTAACCCATTTGAGTTTGAGCAATTTTTTCGAAAATTAGCAATTTGTAAATCCCCATATCTCAATTATTTATTATTTTCGAAGCTCAATATTTTGCAAAGATAATATTTAGAGTTATATTTGTACAATAAAATCAAAAAAATTAATTTCAAAGATTGGTCTTGGAAGATTTTGGGCATTAAATTTGTAATACTTTTGGCAATTCTTGAAAATTGGCATGATGCCAATTTTCAAGAGTTATCTGCCCTTTGATATATTGCATATTTGATTATGATAAATGTCAAATTTGAAAGAACATAGCTTTATATTACTTAAAAATACCCTAATGGAAATGCAAGTTTGAAATTGAGTAAAATAAATCAAATGTCTTTTTTACCATTTTTCTTGAATTTTTTAAGTGCATTTGCACTTAGATATGCAAAAACCAGGTGGCGCTGCCTACGGCTGCCATGTTGCATGATGGGAATTTTTTGGTCATTTTTGAATAACATATTGTAAAGTCTAACTACCCACCAAATTTCATTAAGATATGACAACCTTCGATTTGGACAGTTCTGTATGGTTTTCTCGCGGACTGACTCTTAACATTCTCTGACTTCCCTATCCACTCCATGTCCTCCCCTGTCGTCACCTGTCGATGTCTCTGTTTACATTGTCTACTCCCTGTCGTTCCCTGACATTAATTCTCTGACTACCCTGACCACCCCCTGTCGTTTTCCTTTTCTACCCTGTCTACTCCCTATCGTCCCCTGATGTTCCCTGTCTTCGCTGACCACTCCCTGTCGTCCCCTGTCGTTTTTCTTTTCTACCCTGTCTACTCACTGTCGTCTCCTGACATTCTCTGACCACTCCCTGTCGTCCTCTGTCGTTGCCACTGTCTTCTTCTAAAATTTCACTTGTCGTGTGTCAAGTGTTCTGTTATGTGTTTTGTTGGTGGTTTTTTTTTTTTTTTTTTTTTTGGGGGGGGGGGGGGGGTGAAGTATAATTATATTATTGCTTTAGACTTATTTTTCGGCACAGAAGCAAGTAAAGCATTTTTTGAGAGTTTGTCAGCTCAATCTTTATACATTTATATAAATACATGTAGAAAAATAATCCAGAGTTTGGAAAAGATGATCACATTTTATTCCAAAGCACTTTCGCAATTCGGCTCCTCAGTGGATTTTGAATAACAATAGCAACATGACATGATAACGTCGTTATTATGACGTCATAGTTAAAGGACAACATTAAAATTTGGCGCAAAAAATGTCCGTAGAAAGCGCCAAAATAAATTGACTTGACATTGTAAATGATACATATTTACACAATAATAATCAAAGATTAATAATTAATAAATTTTAAAAACAATATTAACAGTCATTGATTAAATCAGAACATTAATCTGTTTAGTTTAGGCTTAAATTTATCAATGAAATATTGTTCTTTGGCCCGCCGTAACTGTTAATTTTCCTCAGTAACTTTATAAAACGGAAAGATACTAAAACGTCCTTTGCCGCATTGTTCAAAATGTTCGCTGCACGG